GATCATATATATATGACTTCAGTTCACGAGTCTTTGAGGTATATACATAATACATGTAGGCTTGTTTCGGCTTTATTGTTCCAAGCAGGCAAGCATCATCATTAGTCCTCGAGGTTTTCTGGCCTGGTGAGCTCATGTGATTGCAACAATCCCCCACAATGAACCGAGAGCTCGAATTTAGTAAAAGATCAGATTGAATTCTAATGGAATACCTCAAATATGAAAATTTGCAGGTTAATTTGGATATAATTTTCAAAATGTTTGGTTTAGTTTGTTGGTTGGTCAAGATTATGGTTTGATGAGCAAGTAAACATGCTTGTGAATGAAGTTAATTGGCTGATGGTAGGTGGAGTTTGTAAATATTGTAATACTAAATCTACCTAAGATTACTATTGGAATATTCAGTTTAATGCATTAATAACCAGGCCACAACCTATTATGCTACTCCTTATAATTCTTTCATGCACTTGATTTCCTCATCAGGACATTTAACAACATAATTATTGTGCGATCCACCCAATTAGTTCAGAACTTGTGTAATGCACGGATACTTATTGGATTAAGGCTTTGATTGATTGATTGTATAATGTACGGACTTAATTAAATTTATTTATTATTATTATTATTATTTCAACATTAATTAAAAAAGAAAACTGAATCAATAGGAATTAATTTTGATAAGTCAAATTAAAGGAAGAACAGCTATGAGATGAAACAAACAAGACCAAATTTATTAACATCCTTAATATATACTTGTATAAAACAATGTTGAATCAATAGGAATTAATTTTAATAAGTTAATTAATTTAAAGGAAGACTAATTATGAGATGAAACAAACAAGACCAAATTATGTTAGTTATTTCTTACGTATATGTTAATAATAATTTAACATTTTATTCATTCAAATCATCAATACACATGGACTACCAATGAAAGTTAAATTTAATTTGTAAAAATCAATTGTAATTATTGAAAAAATCACCTTTAATAAGTAAAAAAATGAATCATTTTTAATTTAGTGAAAATTAACATTAAATATTTCATAAGAAATAGTCCGTTATTGTAATTAATTTTTGTTTAGTTTTAATAAAATCAAGTAAACTTAACGTTGATTAGAGTTCTTTAACATTCTTTAGTGATTCCAGGCCAAGAATCATACCCCTACAAATTAATTAATTTAAGACGTTAGATTGTATATTATACATAACTCTTTATATCTATTGGTATAGAACTGATTCCAGGTTTTTTTTTAACCGTATTTTTTAAGGACTTTTATTCATACTTGCTCCGTATTGCATATTAACTTAGAATCCTCTGCGTTTTTTTAGTTGGGGGGAAACTCACCTTGTGACTTTGAGGTCACGAGTTCGAGCCCCACCAACTACAAAATGCTTGGGAGTAGGAGATTCCCTTACCTCCTCCCTCTACCCTCAAGCAATGCCTTGCGAGGCTAGGCTGGCTAAACCTGTGAGAGGTGCTGACTCAGTAGGATCATTCTTCATAAATGTCTAGTCTTTTTGGTCACGCCTAGTGTAATATATACTCCGATCCGTACTTAGTAGTTACCTACAGATGTTGGTATCACAATCGATGCCAAGAGAATATTTTATAAATAAACCTGATGATTGAGAGTATCACATTTGTATGCCAAAGAATATTTGTAACATTGATGATAAAAAGCAGTCTAGTCCAAACATCCTTTTCAACTGAAAAAATAGGAAGGCTGACGTATGATTGGCTGAAAAAAGAAAAAAAGATTGATGCTATTTGTTCAAGATTAAAAGAACCCAATGCCTTATGTCCCACCAGTATAAATTGTTTGGTTCATGACTAATTGTGTATGTATGTCACAACCAAGGTTCCAATTCATAGTTTGGTTAGAAATGGGTAATCTGCATCCTGAGGCTCAAAACGCGCTGTTGAAGCATGATCGATTCTATGCTGTTTCTGAGCCTCTAGATGCAGATGATCTGTTTCTTGCCAAGGCTCTATTATTTCACTAAGCTTGCCGCTCGTCTTATGCTTACTTTCTGGTATATATGACGAGTGATCATGAGTGTGTTCGAGGTTTATATGCTTGTTTCGATGTTGTTTTCAGCATGATCACGAATCCTGGAGGTTTCTTAGCTTGCCAAGATTGAGGTCATTGTCATCAAGAGTCCTTAAGGTATATGTTTCTTTCAGCTATATTATTTTACAAAGACCTAAAATAAATAGAATTGTGTAATATGTAGTGTTATTTTAGATTAAATTGTATAAAAAGTGTTCAAATGCAAAATTGTTTGGCTTTTATCTTCTTTAACTTATAATTTGCACCAATGAATATTTTTTTGTTCTTCACCTTGTTGAGTGCATAAATGAGTTGAATCCAATTAAATAGTGACATGTTTGATGATCCCAACTTAATAAGACTTATCCAAAGTTTGAGCACACCCAACCTAAATTTAAAAATTTGGTCATTTGATTTGTGGTCATGATATTTCAAATTATTCGAGTTCTTTCGAGTTTTCTTGGGTCTCTTTTTCCCCGCTTAAATATAATTTCAACATAGCAGGATATTGCATTTTTCAACAATGGGTGTAGCTCTATTCACTTAATTTTTGTTTGTTTGAGCTCATTCTTACTCCGTATTATTTACTCCATACTTCATTTGTACTAATTAATTAGAGTAAAAAATGAACTTGATTAGCTCCTATTAATTTCACCCTTATAAAAACTTATTTGAACTTAAATAAAAACTTATTTGAATTTTTAACCATTATCTGAACTCATATGAAATTGCTTTTCATGAAATGAGTGCAATTTCAAAGACACCAGCGACTTTAATTTTAAAAAAAGTAATTATATTAGTATATAATAAACATTATTTATATTTATCCACCGTGATATAAAGAAAAAATTAAAAGAGCATATCACGGTAAGCAATGAACATTATGTGACAATAAAAGTACAATACATTTACAATCAAAGAACAAACATGGACATTTAAAATAGTTTATCAAGAGATCTATATATTCTTTACATTATGATAGTACGTTGTTTTCACTCTAACTATATATATATGTTCATTAAATTTCTCTATATTTTTTTTAACGAGTGTATCATGCGCATGGTACATCTGCCTATACGAAATAGGAATTATGAAATAAGTGACAATAAGGTGATAAACAGAATATGTCTTATAATAATCAACAAGAACAATGAATCATATAATGTTAAATATAGTACATAATAATCAACAAAAACAATATTTTACTACGGAGTATTTTTATTACTTTTTTAGTATTACAATGGTATATACTCTGTATAATACACAATACTCAACAATAACAATGAATCATACACGCAACGTATAATTAATCATATACGTAATTATACATACATTGATGAAAGATAATTAACCACAATAATACATACTTTTCAGGAGCATTAAACAATTTCAACCACTAGATTTCCACGATTACCATAACACCCGCAAGAGAATCAATGAATCATCATGATCCTAAAATAGGAAGTATTCCATTTCCCAAAAACCTAGCTCTTTTTTTTTTTGGTTTAACAAAAACCTAGCTTTAACGATAGAACTACTCATTAGGTCTGTATAGAGTGCGGTTTACACCACACCAAACCGCAATTTTGCGATTTGGTGCGATTTGCGGTTTGAAAATTGCGGTGCGGTTTTTAAAAATTACCAAACCGTGGTTTGCAATTTGGTGCGGTTTTCAAAAATATTGAGACCAAATCGCACCGCAAACCGCATTATGCGATTTTTATACTATATTTTCATTAAAATTATATAAAAAAAATTATAATTTATGAGCTAATCTTTAACTATTAGTTAGTTATAGGTTAATTAAAAAGAGTTTAAAATTTTAACTATAAACAAATAATTATAAAATAAAATAAAAGTTTTGTTTTAAAAAGAATAATTACAATTTTAATAAATACGGTTAAACCGCACCGCACCGAACCGCATATAGTGCGGTGCGGTTTTTTTAAATGTGCGATTTGGTGCAGTTTGAAAAAATTACAAACCGCACTTTTGCGATTTATGATCCAAACCGCACCGCAAACACCCCTACTACTCATTCTCCCGCCCTATTATACTCTATAGTCTTGTACTAACAGAACACATCGCAACAAACTTGGCGCACTAGTCATGGCGACGAACAACGAGGAGAGAGAAACCATCGGAAATCGCCGCCGCCTCGCCGCACCACCCGCCGGCTGTTCGGAACTCCCGAAAGAATACCTCGCCGCAATCGCCGCTCGCCTCGTAAGTCCTCACCATGTTTCTCGATTTCGATCAGTTTGTCGAAAATGGCGCTCTTTAATTCCTCCCCAAAACCCTAATTTCATATCCCCAAATTTCCCTCGTAGAATTACTGCTGAAGCTATCAATGAGAGGCATAAGTGTGATTCGTTGTTTCTTGTTTCATCCTCTGTTTTTGTTGTTCAATCAGTTGATTCGCCTTCTGATTTTTCGGTTTTAACTGTTGAGAAATCGAATTCGGGTAATTTTCGTGTTTTGTGTCCTTTTTCTAGAGATTTTGCTGGGAATTTGTCCAAGGATTTCCCCAAATCCCTAAATTTGTGTGATTATAATGTGACTGAAATTGCTAAAGGTTATAATTTTAGGGTTGTGATCGAGGATCAAAAGAAGTATAATTTGGGGCTTCGTACTCACTTATACCTCGTCGATCACTCATATGCTCTGCTTATAAGGTGATTATGTATCCGAATCCGAAATCGATTAAAACTGTGGATGATTTTACAGTTGTGGTGTTGTATGAAGGAGGGAATTTAGCTGCTTTGAAATCGAATGGTAGGAAATTGTGGTATTTGTGTTACACTGGGGATGCTCATTTTGATGACGTTGTTCTGTTTAAAGGGATGGTTTGTGCTGTGGATCGTTCGGGCCGAGTTTATGCTATTAATGACAAGGCTAGGGTGGTGAAGACTATTGTTAATATCGCGATTCGTTGGGGGGGGGGGGGAGTAAGATAATGGTGTTACTTATGATTATTATATGCGAAAACGATTGGTGGAATCGTGTGGGGATCTTTATCTTGTTGTTTGGGCAGGTGTTTGTGCTCAAGGGAATGTATGGTTCAAGGTTTTCAAGTTAAATGAAGCTCTTTGTAGGTGGTTCGAGGTTAAGCATTTGGGTGATCGTGCCTTGTTTGTAGGCTTTGATTGCTGCTTCTTTGTTTCTGCTAGGGAGTTTCGAGGATGTCAACCTAATCGCGTTGTCTCTCAAAGAAGTTGTTTTCTTCGTTTTGGTGGAGATCACATCTCCGATGATTATCTATTTGAAAGAGTAAGCAAGGGACTAGAGAAGGTCCAACACCTCAAGGATAGTGAGATTATTGGGCTTAAGCCAATGCATGCTGGCTTTTTGCAATCATTATGGCATTTTTCGACATGGTATACTTAATTTTCCTTTGATTTTCTCTACATTGTGTGCACAGCCATTGTTATGTAATTCAAAGATCAATAACTCTGTCATCACCAACTAAGTCTAGGATGCCGAATTAGTCAATTTTACTTGTTTGTGTTGTGTTCTAAATTTGTGTTATGGCGTTCTGTGATCATGAAAGGAATACCTCTGAAAAGAGGAGAAAGAAGGCTATAAAATTATTACTCCTTTTTAAAGTAAAATTGTTTAGTACACATAATGAAAATGATCAAAGCTCTGGTTAATTTATATATGTGTGATATAGTTCAGAGGGTTTTGTAGCAATGAGTCCTGCATTATAACTTATTATTTTGTTTGTTTATTAAGGAATCCCGACGAAGAGCAAAAGGTAAAACCAGATCTCTGCGGCAAGGATGCACAAGTTGAAGATATGAAGCAACCAGTGGTGGTCAATACTAAGAAGGCTGAAGGAGGTAATTATTTCTTCGACGCCATCAAACAAGATGTCACTGTCTATATGCTTTGTGCTTTTAGTTGTTCTTTACTACGAAGTATTTGTTTAGCTATGGAACCAGAGATCATTACGAGAATATTCTTCACTCGGTTCCTGAGCCCCATCTATATCGTCTTTATTTCAGGTTCTGGAGTCTTGCAATCTTTTCCAACTAATAGAGCAGCATTTCAGGGAAAAGATGTGAGGTCTGAGTTAGTACCTGTCTTAGAAAAGGTTTGGGCCAAATATGGGAACATCATTGAACAGAGTGCAATTCGTAGTTCTGATACTATAATCATGGCTTTGGAGTCTGTTGGAAAAGTGATAAACATTCTCCAAAATGCCTCAGCAAATAAAATGACTGATCATCAAGTAAATAATCTGGTTTCAACCTTGTCAGACCTCCAACTTATGCAATTGAAAGTAGATTGGTTAGTCCCCTTTGTTGAAAAGGCTGTTGCACTAAACAAGAGCAGACAGTTGGCGGTTGCCTTAATGGAGCTTGAGAAAGCCAAAGCTCATGTCGAAGAATTGAAACTGAAGCTCCTTGCTGAATCGGAGAAGCCGGACAGTAGATTAAATCTTGCTGCTGTGGAGAGCATATCTGCAATTGATTTGGACAAATGCCTAGGGGAGGGAGTCTGTTGATTTAGAGGGACTCCTGATTATCGTTGGTTGCTAGTTTTATTAAACTCGAATGACTACTAGATTATGGGTAGGCGTTGTCCAAGTGTGGTCGAGGAGATTGTAGCATTTGATTTTTGCTTAAGCATTATCAATACTATGAGCATCTTTCTCAATAATAAGTAATCCTTTTTCATTAACTAGTTAAAGTAGTAAACTGTATCTACTCTTACACCAGAAATTGAAGGTGCTTAATCATGTCAAAGATTCTTAGATTATAGTTATAGAAGTTCTTTGCTCTTTATTTTATGAATGACGATAGTAGACCTGATGATCGATATACACATTGATAATCAAGTTGCATTATTTCGCATATTCCATGAATAGTTAAAAACTTAAAAATTGTGGGATGACAAGCTTATTCATAGTTAAACTTAAATGATGAATCCAGTGCTTGAAAATACTCCATTAGATTTCTTAAAAAATAAAAACAAAAAGAAAAACAAAGAAAAAAATTGCTAAAAAAAGTCCAGATTATTCTTGCAATCTTGCTCAAACAAACAGCACTTATAAACAAGAAGCGTATCACAAGAGGACATAGTAAAATATATATCAACGCATTGAAATCGACATTGAGCAGCAGATTGCAAGCCGCGTTTTCATTGCTTCGTATAATATCTCAAGTATAATGTGTAACACTCTGTATATACAAAATCAAATTCTATCTTATACGAAAATGTGATATGTTTTCCATATACTATATCTTATACAAGTATTAGTATGTATTCGGGCTTAAGTACTTTAAAAAGTAGTACAATAATAATGGGCTCCTTAGAGTCTTACACATACAGAAGGTCTTTTAAGGGAAAAAGTGCCCACGTAATTCACATGCCATATTAAGCCTAAATGTCTTAAATTAGCAGGGAAATCTTATAAATTTGTCTACTAATATCACTATGAATGCTTATAGTCTATACTTCTTAATTTCTTATACGAGGTACAACTAATTAGTTTTTCATATACTTCGTAGTAAATAGTAGCATAACTGCCCAAAATAAGTCATGCATTTCATGATCCTGCCAAAATAAGAGCAATTGTAGAACACTTTTGCAATTACATCAGGGTTACATTACTAATAATTACATAATCTGAAACAGTTTCAGACATTAACAAGTCGTCGTACTCATCATACAGGAATCATCTATCGCGACCCTGCAATTGAAAATAGAATACTGCAGGATAGTTCCAATATATTTCTAATCCGTTGACATATTAAACATTGAAAATGATCACGAAATTCTTCTAAGCCATTTGCTGATGTAGGGATATACTGATAGCTACTGGTTCTACTGATAGCTACTGGTTCTGGTACCTGAAAATGAAATTGCAAGGAAAACTATTAGAGCTTAGGTAGAAAATCTTAAAGACAGTACTATAGGTGTGTGATTTAACTTTGAACGTTCTCTGTAATTAGGGTAACATCAGATTCATCTTGATATTTGAGAGTATAAGTCAAAAGCAAACTTTACAAGTATTCGATTAAAATGCAATTGAACAACCATTGAAAAAATTTACCATAACAAAACATTGTGAGCTTGAAATCTACACATCATCCTTCAGCCAAGCACATTCTTTAGGTCTATATGAGCTAGAGGAGCTGAGGCCACAGCCATCCCGGCTAGAAGGTTTCTTTGTTGAGCCAATCTACAATCCAGATCATGCAACTGTGCAAGAAGATTGGATTTCGACATCTCAAGTCCCTGCACATAATGTACCTGCTGCTGCTCATTGTGTACAGCCATGGCCTTTTGTACGAAAGGAATTAGCCAATCCAATCTAAAGCGTATACCCTGAAGATGAATTCAAGTATGCAGCTTGGAAACCATCTAAGAACATTCCTGAATGGCTTTGAAGAAGAATGATCACATTGGCTAGTGACTCCAAGGCCCATGTTAGCTGGTCATTAGTTTGCAGTACATGTCCTTGCATTATGTTCCCGTGTTTATCCCATATTTTCTTCAAAATCGGGACCAAATGAGAGCTCACCTTTATTCCTTGAAATTTTGCCTGTGAAACACCATTTTGAACAATCTGCAAAAGCATATATAAAAACTTAGAAGATGCACTAACAACCTAAAAAGTAAAAACCAATTTTCTTTTTTTCGGCTTATGAAAGACTAACTTATCTACCTCGGTAAAAGTGGTGTCAATAGGTTTAGCATGGTCTGCAACTTGTATAAAGCTGGGCAATGTTACTACTTGCACTGCCACTAAGGGATATTGATTAACTCCACCCGGATAACCACTTTGTAGCCCTTCCTCTTCCGGGCTGTCTTCCTCTTCATCTTCCTCTTCCTCTTCAGAGCTTTCTTCCTCTTCCTCTTCCTCTTCCTCTTCCTCTTCGTCTTCGTCTTCCTCTTCATAGCTGTCTATCTCTTCTTCTTCCTCTTCAAAAGAGCTTTCTTCCATAACAATTGCCACATTAATACTCGGAGATTATCTAAACTAGTAAATGTGATACTTCGTACGTCTCATAATCATACAAAGTAACCATCTTAAAGTATACTTGTTGATCATATAAGATTGCACTGAAATAAAAGTTAGAAGCACATCTTACTTAGTGGCTGATTCAGTATCCGGCAAAAGCCACGCTGGGGGTGGCCAGAACACCTCAGAATATCGAGGAGAAGGCGCTATAGGCCATCCATATACATTAATTACACGCCCATCATCAAAATGGAAAATACCAATATCAAAACTACCAGTAGCACCCGTATATTGAGGGAAGGTTTTTTTATAGTACACAATCGAATTACCTCTACAACCAGGAAAATAATTTTTGTTGGCAAAGAAGCAGCCATCCAACGTTACAAATAGTATACGATCACATATATCTTCGACCATTTCCCATTCCTCCTCCTCTTCTTGCAATCTATACACCTCGAAACTGATAGGTGATCGGTTTCCAGACCTCTGACATCTATAAACAACAACATAGAGTTCACCTAACAATTCTACCAGACATTTCTTTTTATCAGTTGTCAAACCTATTGGCTCCCCTACAATCTCCAACATCGATAACAGATCATAACCCGTTCGATACAATCTTCCGCGAAGATCAATAGCATATACCCTTCCATTGAAGTTGAGGATATCATCAAAATTCCTTCCTTTGGTATTCAGATATTTTTCTTCCTCGTTGTTCAGCCTAATTGCGGATAAAGTCCCATTACCATACAATACCATAGCAGTACAATTATCAATTGTAGGATTGTTTTTATGTTTCGGATCCACAAATAAAACCACTTTGTTCCTTAAACATCGGCTCTCAAACATGTCCAAAGGTCTATCTGCTGACCGTAAAGTACAGAATTTCCCAAGTTCAATCACTTTCAAATCAGATAATTGCAAAACCTTTGGGAAATTTTCAGGCAAATATTTGATGTTAATCCGAGAAAGAGGTTTCCTAAGGTAGAATTTACCTGGGTTTAACTCCTCAACAGTAATTAACCAAGGTGAGGCCTTCAGATTTCGAGACGGCCGAAGGAGAAAAACAGAGCATGGTACTGTGATTAAAGATTTTCCAGGAATTTCCGACGACATATGACTTGATCTGTTCTTGTCTAGAAGGGGAGGAGTGAGGGTTGAGATTTTGTGGGGTAAAAGAGGGGATAAAAGGTTTTTGTGAAGGAGAAGAGAATTCGGGGCTGATCGCCGCCATTTCGAACATACTGCTCGGAACTTGCAGAGATCGGTTCGTGTTTCGAGGCGCCTGGCAATGGCTGAAAGAAGCTCTGATGGTAAGTCCGACCAAGAACTTTTCCGGCGGATCATTTTTCTTATGGTGTGAGTTGTGAAGAATGAGCAGATTTTTGATTGATAAGGTTAAGTAAGAATTAGTGTAATCAGTTTTGGCGCCAGTTTTTAGTCTTTATTGCCGCCAATTTTACTTGGAGACTACTAACATTATTTTCCCGCTCAAACCGTTATAAATAAACATTGGCTTTGGCGCCAAAAGGAAAAAAGTACTGTTGTTTTACATTTGTAATCATTTCATTTTTATAGTTATCAATAAACAACTTAAATCATTAATGTTTATATACTTTTTTTTTTTTTTTTGACGAGTAATGTTTATATACTTCTAAATATAAATACTACTTCCGGATCGTATTATATGCAACTTTGGAATTTTTTTATATCTCACAAATAATACCCCAAAGTTGCATATAATATGATTCAGTCATTCAGAGGTAGTATTACATTCGTTTCTTATTACATTATTTATAAAACATAAGATATTTCTTTGTTGCAAATAATAATAAACTAGGGTAATATGGCAAAAGTTAACATTTTGCATACATAAACGTTGTGATGAATCCAACAAGCTTCTACAGGAGGAAGTTTTTTATTTATAAATATAATAAACCAGCAAAAATGGTTAAAAAAATATTATTATAGCTTGTAAATATGACATGAGTAATGCAATTATGCAAATGACACTATTAGTAAAAAAAATTACTAATGCAGAATCTTCTCTGTATCGTTCCATTTTTATTGAAGGTCTCCGAAGATGCAAAATTATACACTATCACGCTTTCACGCAAGAAAGAAGATATACGCTGACCAATACCAAGCTGTTTCCAGAAGGCTAATCGCTCAATCTACAAGTCAATTAAAACTAGTACAGGCGTACAATAATAAGTAGTTTTCCTGCAGACCTTGACATATATCAAAGGCAAATTTTTGCCAAACGCAAACAAAAGAAAACTCATCCTTTCATCCATTAAAATTCCACCATCAAACAAGGTTCCAAAAAAGCAAAGAGACAGTGACTCACACAAGACATATCCTTAAACTTCAACAAGGGGTGGATGTGTGAAGATGTAATATGAAACCATCGAGCATGAGATCTTGGACTCCTACAACTCTACAAGCAACCAGTACAATATGTACATATGCAACAAGTTACAACTAACAAGCAAACCTACAAAAGCAGAGAACTACTAGCTTTTAGTAAAGTATGAGCGCAGCGTGGCCTGTTTTTCAGCTCCACCCTTAACTTTACTCTTCTTCAAGGGAGTCTGGGGTAGCTTACCAAGTTCATCAGTGCTCGGCTTGGAATCAACCAGGAACTTTTCATAATCCCGTTTCACCTCAATCTTGGAGTCAGATTCAGGAGTCAGAGTGGTAACATCAGACTTTATCTCAGTAACTGTCCTTCCACAGCATGACGGTTGCAAATTTGCTTGTGCCTCAGCTTCTTCTTTAACATCACCCTGCACATCATTCTTCATAGACTCCTTAATCGTCTTATTTGATTCCTTAGCATCATCTGTTCCTTTCTTGGAGAAAAATTTCGTGATAGGGTTGGACTGCTCCTCAGATTTCAATGGTATCTGCACAGCATAATATTATCAGCAATTTTTCTTTTGCCTACGTAATTTTCCTACCCTTCTCCAATAAAAATCATTAAACGAAAAACACCATACTCATAGATGCCTGCTATGCTTTTAGCTCACTGTAGACATTATGTATGACATGCAAGTAACATAAAATAGCCATACCTCTTTGATGCATTCAGGACCATCAAATGATGCCTTGTTCATTGCCATTGACACCGGATACCAAGTCTGACAGGAAAAAATAATCATCAAGGTTCACACTATTTTATAAACAATGCCAACCTCCTACAGTGAAAACTTTGCTGCATGCAAAACCTTTAAATATTTAAACCAAATCTGCTTTTTCATATGGTTTAAGCACTGAATTGAACTTGGTATCTGTAGAACCATTCAGCCACAAATCTGTTGAGGCTTCGTCTCCCAGAATAACAGGCATCCTATCTGTACATCAAAATGAAGTACATAACAAGCCAGCAAACCTATAACTTTCATAACCATCTATCTCAGCAACGACCAACATAGGCAATAAGATTGCAATAACAAGATATAGAAATTAAAAACAAGATATGATCTCCATGTTTTACAAATGTGAGATTAAATGAGAGAGTGTATCTTCCAACATGGCAAATTGATAATGTAGAATAACAACAAATTGTAGGGTGTTTCTCCAGCTGTAAAAGTACGAGTAATAATTAGGAAAGAGAATATATTTGCAACCACAAGATTCCTCTTCCTGCATAATAAAATAGGCAGCTGTCTCACCCTAAAGCTCACGCTGCATCATTGGGGGGGGGGGGATGAAATAGAGAACGCAGGGGTGAATAAATCAGATAATCAAGTCCTGTTACGATCGCCATCAGCCTTAAGGTATCAAATGCGATAGTAAGTAGAAAGTGACCATTATCAGCACTCTCATTCTTTGTGGCAAAACTATTAATTAGACAATGTGCTTGAGAGTCACTAAATACGAACATATAATCCACTTTCTTGGCATTCTACTCTTCAGTTCTTCAACCCCCCACCCCACATAGCACCTCCACAATCCCCTAAGAAAACCTTAAATCAAACAAAAAGAAAATCATCCCAAGTAAGCAATACGGGGAAATTGATTACCATGCAGCCACTTAAGATCTGATGATGAATCAGTTGTTACGATGGTAAATGTATAGAGAATTTCTCCTGCAAGATACATTAAAAAGATGTAAGAGTTTGTAGAAGACAAGACATCCTGATCTGTTCACTACATATTGCAATTATTTTAAAGATGAACACATAGAATAGCTCAACAATAACAGCCCATATACTTCATTCTTTGACCAGGGTAAGGGGTAATAATTCACATACAGATCAGTAGATCACCATGGTAAGTGGTGACTGATAAATCAAATGCACAATCCACATATTTAGATCATGGTATGACAAAGACTATCTAAACTCAAAAATAGAACTCTGGATAAAGTAAACCTTCCATCAAATGGAACTCCACGATTTGTAAAGAAAGTAGAACAGAAACTGACCTTCAGAATTTTTCCAGGAATCATAGAGGGCAGCAAACACTAGAGGGCGACCATCCTTAAAATGAATGTAATACGGCTGCTTCTTAGGACCTTTCTTCCATTCATAAAACCTAACCAAATTATAAGACACGAGTCAAAGAAATGCACAAAAAGAGCAGGCAAGTAGCATTTGAGAAATATTAGGTCAAAGAAAAAGGAAAAAAAAGTACACAGAACTAGCAGTTAGTTGTTTTGTTGGGGAGGGGGGGGGGGGTCATTTAATTGGACAAAATCAGGAAGGAAATGTGGAAGATACCCCAACTCCAAGTTTCTTGATTGACATACCGGATCTACAGGATATGGGCAAAGTTGCCAAGAATACAGTTAAAGCTTTCATTTCTACATGTTGCTCTCCTATTTGAGAACCAACAGAAATAAGCTCGGCTGAAAGGTTTTTAAGATGCTTATACAGCAGTACAAATCAATACAGAGCACTGAACCACATGTGTTGTCTTACAATGTCATGAAAAGGATGCTAAAATCAAAATCCTTGGACCAACAATGGTGGATTGGTGGTCTACAGTGCAACATGCAATGCTAGACTCTTGAACAAGTTGCATAATTTATCAGATAACAAAGTCAGCAAAATCAATGAAGAGAATCATAAGGCAGAAATTCACTCAAAGTTGCATCTTCAAATGATTTTTGTTGCATTAGATTATATTGTACTCCATATATAACATTCAAGAGGAAGTAATCAATATCCTAATACAAGAAACAACCAGCAGCAAAAGGATGCTGATACCTGAAACCCATAATCATATTAATCAATATTGGTGACCATGCTAAAATCACATTTGCATTTATTTATATATATAAAAAAAAATTAAAAAATTAAAAAAAAATAAAAATAAAAATCAAACAATCAAAGCCTTAATCCCATAAGTGGGGTCGGCTACTAAAAAAAATACTCCACATCGACAAGGCAGGAGCATCCAAATGTAAAATCAATCAAACAACCATATTTACAATATTGCAGCAATCATGAAAAGAAATCAAAAAATTGATCCAGAAATTACACTCATACCCTTCCACAGCAACAAGGCACCGGTTTTTAGGAATTAGTCGACGGAATGAGGCCTTTTCCCCAATTGGTTCAGACCTTGCATTAAACTGAGAATATTTACAACACACGCAACTCAATCTCTTACTACAAACTATCATTAATGTATTCAAAGAAAAAGGAGGAAAGGGAATTAATAAGTACCATCTTGTAGTGATCAGGTTTCTCATCCTTCTTGGTGAAGCTAGGAATTAGCCCCCACTTCATACAATGTACAGCTGCAGTGTAGCCCTCATCTCCACCACTTTCACGACGAATTACTGGCAGGTAAGATCCGGGTGAGACATTATATGCAGGCCGGTACCTAAAACAAATAGGTTATTCAGTCTTAGCATATAGCCATATATATACACTCCTCCTTCTCATAGTATGCATAAAAAGAAAATCAAACGCTCAAAGCTGTTCTTTAAATCAATTGTAGACTTAGCAGTATATCCTAGTGAATTGGGGTTTGTCCAATTTAACTTATTTTGCCTGAACTTAACTTAAATTGTTTGCAATCATTTTGTATGAACTTATCTTAACTTATTCAAACTTTTTTGTTTTAGAATATGTCATCACCAGTGAACAAAATGGGGCCTAATTTGTGTAAATTAGTACACCCAAACAAACATCCGAATCAACCAGTTCATCACTAGAGAAACTAGTAAGGTTTCAATTGGTTACAAATCCAAACTTGAATTAAAACCCTAATAAATGCCATAATCAAAATGAAAAACGTAAACAAAAACAACCCAGTTCAACCATAGAGGGTACATTTGTCGCACTTAAACTAAAATTAATATTAATCAATGAACAAAAGGAAGTTGAGAAACAAAAATTATACAATAAATTTGTTAAATGAAGCTGAAAATTGAAAAGAGAGGAGGAAATACCGGTCGACATCAACTTGACGAACGGAAGTATCACGAAGATGGCAAGCTCTAGGGACGTCGTCTGGGCGGATAGAGCAGCGGCATCTTCCACACATGTTTAGTTTCTCTCTCCTACTCTGCTATGGTAGCTGGGTTCTTCAGCTTCTGGGTTTCTTCTTCTTCTCACACTAACTTTTTTTTGGTAACTGTACAGTTGCAAACGCGGGAAGGGAAATGGGCGTTTTAGTGTAACACCCTACGAGGTCGAGGGCAACAACTTGAAATTGATTTTTTTTTTTTTTTTTTTTTTTTTGTTTTTTTGGGTTTAAGTTGAAATTGAACTTAATTAAGGGTCTACTGACTGAAGTGAATTTAACTAAATTAAACTGAACTGAATATTTTATGATGAAATGAAATTAGGAGCTGAGCTAAACTGAACTTATTAGAGTTGAACTGAACTGAATAGATATAATTTTGAAATTAAGGTAGTGTATCTTGATTTTCTAAATTAAGTGCATGTTGAGGAATGAGAACCCATGATTCTCCACTTTTAAAAGGAAATAAAATAATCTTCTAATAAGTCAAAGTTTTCTAGTAAAATTTCATGGTGGATATGCACTTTGTACATTTGTGGTTGTTGAGTCTATGAGTTTTTAGATTGTGATTGTTGAGTCAGCATATGAAAATTCAAATTTGTCAATTTGCAAATGAAATTTTTCGTTTGTCATTTGCAAATTGTGATTCTTTTACACTTCGTGGCTCGATGACTTTAGCATAGGCACATCTTCTAAGAAATATTAAACCTAACAGATATTACAAAACTAAGAGACTAGTAAGTAGGAGTAATTTCTTTAGTCAGGAACGCTTAAGACAATTTAAGGTTAATCTTATGATAATTTCTTTTGAATTAATAATCCACAATACCAAGGTTGTTTGGAACATTAAACACGAGAAATTTTAAGAATATTTGGTAGGAAGTTACGAGCCATTCTATAATACATGAAAAGAATGCTCACGGAAAGGTTGCACATTTGAGTTTAGCTACATTCCTACAATCCTACAGAAGTGAAGGGTGGCTCACTGCCCCGGCTAAAATATGATGTTGACAAATATGGTATTGGTGGAATAGGAAAGTCATTTGATATTCCTCCTTTTTGTGCTAGGGATATCTATGGAAGAGAAGTTAATGACATTGTTGTCTAGTGATGTTACTATCTTTTGTACTGTGGTGAATCTACCCGATTATAATAGTTGACAGTGTTCTTCTTCTATTGTATTTGTTAGGAAATCTATTGTTTTTGCTTATGCTTTTATCGAATTGGTGTAGACAGAGTAATCAACTTGATCTTTTGCTAAACTATAGAATCAAATTAGTACTTGGATCATATTTTAATTTAATATAATCTCTTTTTTCATTAAAAAAAAAGTAACTCATACATCTACGAGAGTAAAGAGAACTACAAATGAGTAGAGAGAACTACAAATGGCAGAATGATTTAGGTGAAATTCAATCATAATTATTTTGGTCTCCATTAGATAATTAAGATTGAATTTTTGAGTAAAAAAAATAAAATTCCTAAGAATTCAATCTCAAACATCTAATAGACTAATAGTGACCCAAATATTTTGACCCTAGACAATAATTGACTTTCACTCCTTAAGTCCAAAGATGAAAACCCGACCTCATTTGAATCGAGGAATGAACTAATAACCAACATTGGTTAACCAAGTTGAGAACCTGGGCTCTTAGAATTGAAACATTGGCACTCAAAAAATGTTGTCAATAGCAAGGCGACTCCAAACACAAAACCCATGCCCATGTCTTCTGCAACTCCGATTCGCCGGCACCGACGCCGGCCATTACCGGAACCGCCGTCGTCAAAGTTTCACTGCTAAAATGAAAAAAAACCGACGACAAATCGGAGTGGTGGGTTATCGACGGCGAGATGCACGAAATCGGAGAAAACGTCCCTTTAAGAGAACGCTTCGTCATTCCCAGAGATAATCTTCCCAATAGACGTCGCAAGCAGCTTCGCGACCAGTTTATGCGCCGCACTCGTCTTGTTCTTAAAGAGACTGTTCGTTTCTCTTTCTCTATCTTCCTTAATTTGATTATCAATTTTAGTTTTTGTTGTTGAAAATTGATTGGGTAAATTAGGGTTTATAAAGGGTGGTTGATTTATTTGGGGTTTGAATTGAATCGCGGCATGCACACCAACTGTTTGTTAAAATTCCCAAGAGGAATGGTTGTAGGGCATTTCTGATTATTCCTGCCTTTTTTTATAATGAACTGCATAACAAGTGTCCTGTATCAGATTTAGTAGGAGAATGTTGGTTTGACATCAATTGCTTATTTTTTTTGGTTGTTGTTGTGATTTTGAAAAATGTTTAAATTTCTGCCTTTCAATTTGTAACTTACATTAGTTTAATTAGGTTGTTGTTGTGCTTGATCATATATCCTTTATATTAGTTTTGAGGTTTGCTTAAGTTTTTAGTGCAGTTGAGCTTAATGAGCTTGTTTGGATGCTTGCTTAGGGTATATGTGGTTTGGGTTTTGTAAGCTTTCGCAATTACAATATTTCATTCTGACAAGGGTTCGATTGAAGCTTGAATGGATTAATATTATTTGCTCTAGCAAAAGAAGGATTCATATTGTGTTGTTATTTTGATGTTATTATAATTGCAAGTTTCATTTTGACACGAGAAATGATTGGGTGAAGGGTTCAAGCCATGTTTAGCATTGTTTGAGGCTAGCTTAGGTTTGTTAAAAACATATAAGCTTGGAAAATTTCGACTTTGGTGGCATGAAGCTTACTATAATTCCACTTTGGGTGTTGTGGTTCAATAATTTAACTTGGTGCCATGAGCTTTTAAACTTCGTTTCAACATTGTGTGGTTTAGTAATTCCACTTTGGTTTGTACAATTTTTTTTTTCCCACTTAGGTGCACTAAGAGTATATGTTAATGATCATTTTTGTAACAGGCAATCAACTTTTTTTTTAGTCGTACTCCAAATTTCATTACAAGGATTTTTTTTTTTTCTTTTCTTTTTGTAAAAAAACTTTGGTTAGTCGTATTTCATGTATAAAAAACTCTTAATATCTCTCTATTTAAAAATAAATCTTATTTTGTTCATATTATTATTTCACTCGAATTCTAACAAATAAAGAAATAATGTTACTAGTTCTTCAAAATAAATTCTCTTTTTCCCTTTGCTGTTACATTGAGTGGATATAATTTAATTCCCAAAATCTAAAGAAAAGTTGTTTTGCTCCTAACTATTACATCGAGTGGACGTAATTTAACTCTTAAAAGGGATGAACTAGTAATACAAAGTATAATTACCCCTATTAAACCTGATTAACATTATGATATCTAAAAACTAATTTTATTTATAAATGGAAAAATTAGACTTGAGAGAATCACTTAATAATGAGTCATCCCTGTCAAAGATAAAGTAACCACAAACATAATCTAAAGAAATTTCTTAGTAATTAGAATTGACAATTTTTAAAAAATCCTTATAACAATATAGGACCAGAGAAGTTAATTGTTTGTTACAAAATGATAATTAATATACTCCGTATATATTTTCAGACCCCAAAGCGAAGAAAAGTTTTAAACTTTAAGCACCAAAGTGGAATCACCAAGCCATAGGGCACTATAGTGAAACAAAATTTAAAAGCTCATGGCACCATAGTAAAATTATTAAAACCACAGGGAACCAAGGTGGGACTATATTAACGTTAGGGTACAAAAGTGAAAATTTTCCTATAAGTTTTCTAGGCTCAACCTTTGTTTCCTTTTCTAGTGGTTTGATTATGTTTTCTTGAATTCCTTCTGTTGCTGTTGCCTGCCATGGCAGACCTAATAGGATGTTTCTGTCTGGCTGTTACTATAATCCAAAGGACGAATGACTAGAAAGGCTGAAAGTGTTTAAGTTCTTGTTGATAAGTTCCACCATGTATGTAGAACTACTGATTAGGCTTTTTGATGACAATGACTGGTAATATTGATAATAGATTCTACATTTCTACTTCTTTTGTGTATATTCTTTATACAGAGTGCTCGCCTTATGGTTAACCTTTATTTAGGCTTAAAATTTTCTTCTTCTTTACTCTTAAGGAGCAAGAATCTTTCTGCAAAAAGTACATGCAACTGTACAATGAGCTCAGAGAGAACTGGGAACGGTTATATTGGGATGAAGGGTACTCTAAAAAGCTTGCTGCTGATCATGCAAACTACGACTCTCCTGAAGAAGAAGATGATGGAGACTTTTCACCTTACAGGTTTGTCTACTATGACTGCTTGTTTTGTTACTGGTTCATATATGCAGGCTGCCACGAGTATAGTGACTAGTGAGTTGGTTTATCTGTATCTCTAATTTTATCTGTCTATTGTTTGTAGGAGAGGTGGATCACATGCAGGGCAACTCCAGGTACTGTATAATGAACTTGTTGACATTGAACATTGTTTGTACTGTATAATGAACTTATTGGTGTGTGTGTGTGTGTGTTACCAATTCAGTAATGGTGATTATATGTATACATGTCAAAAGTCTTTCAAGGGTGTTTGGTGCAATTGCAACAATTCTCATTTTTCTTGAATGTGGTCGTATAGGGTTCACCCAATCCAATTTAGTGGTTGTATCTCTTGTATGTGAGGCTGTGAGCGTATGACTAGTCTACCAATATATCTTTTGCATTGGCCATTAAGAAGCTTGAAGTTCTTTTGTGGGTGCCATTTTGTAATTAAACTAATTTTACAATATTAGAAAACATTAATCATCTCTCGACTGTCTTGGACAGTTGGACTGCATGTATTTCGATGGTTTATTTCCAAATTGTCCCTGCTCCTTGTGTACTAAACACAGAGTTACCATTTTTCAATGCAGGAACAAGGTTTGTCAAGGAACAGACAAACTGAAACTTGGGAGAAAGTCCACCAAATTCGGGATAAATTTGAATATGACAGAGAGATGAGAATGAGAGACAAAGGTAAGTCTCATATTTAGGTTTCCTAAATTTATACTAACCCTTTTTATATTATTTGCAACATTTGTCAAAAATAGATGTTTCATATTATTTGCAACAAATATTTTATTACTTATTTAAGTTGTTATTTTTCTCAATCTCTCCCCTCATCACATGCATCTCTATCTTTCTCTCTCCATTTCACACTCACAAACAAATTTTTCTGAAGAGTCCATGCAAACTCATTTACTGCATGCAAATAACATGAAATAGAGGTAGTAGCATTTTTTGAGTTTCTTGTATTTACAGTATAGGATAATATCTTGGGATTCACTTCTCAGATTTCTTCTTTGAACTCCTCCAAGCCCCTTTCTCTTGCTAAAGAGTGTATATTTAAGAATAAAAGGGAAAACAAGCTACAAGGAGTTGGGGATATATTATCAGCCTGTGGTTTATTATACATGACTCGTGCATATTTAAGAATAAAGTGCTAAGCTGACTTATGAATTTAGACATGGAATATATCGGTTTAAAAATGCTTAAGATTACTATATGTGACATGTTCTGCATGCCTACTACAGCTTTTGCACCAATGAACACGAGAAACTCAGTTGGTGATCATAGACCACCCTTCAGGAATCAACCCTTTGATGCAGAGAGATACTTTTCTGGAGAGGAAGAGAAAGAAGATTAAAAGCTGTTGAATGGATTATGTTCAGTTTATTGACCATAGTTCTTAAATTGAGGAAGTTTGGGAAAAATCTCTTGCTGAATAAACCACTTTTGAGACACCTTTCTCATACAACCAACCTAGGGTAAGGGGGTTGTTTGTGGATTATAACGAAGGTCCTGAAAGAAAAAGCACAGTGGTGCCTACGACCAAAACTTTTAAGAGTTCATCCTTGTTGGCCGAAGTCCAGTTTCTTAGGCTTTGCCATGAGCGTGCTGATTGGTTTGCTGGAAATGAACAGCGTAGATTCTATAAGTGAAATCTATATTAGACTTTGACTTTTTGCTTTTGATGTATTATTTACGATGAAGAATATAAATTCATGAGGGATTCCTGTTGTGCTTCCTGTCATGTTCTGATGAACAACTCTTTTAGTGAATAATTTTTAGGAGTTTATTATGTCAAAGAACAATTTGTTATGTATTGGAACTAATATGGAATAAAGAACAATTTTTAACATCATCAACTCTACTTGTTCAAAGGTATTGCAACAAAATAAGATGGTTGTCTTCAGTGTTGCTCTGCTGCTTGGTGACAACTCTGGAAACTGAGACTGGGGGTCATTGGTCTTATTGCTATAAGTTCAATTTTTTCAATATAACTAGTATAGGCTGCCAAGTATGCATTTGTTTCTGTGGTGGATAGCTTTAACAGTGATTGATGGTATGATGTTGCAGGATTTTCCTTACTTTTTTTAGGTTTTAATTGCTAGATTATGTATGAAGGTAGCTAGGTATGAAGGCAGGTATAACCGTATAAGTGAACTGAGTTCTGTGAGTACTTGCGAATCGAAAACTTTCCTAACAGATAAAGAGAAACTTGTGCAATTTCAATAATTTTGATAACCAAGGTTGACGTAAAAGAAGAAACTTTTGCAAGTTGCAACCACATTTGGTTTACATTTATTTGCTTCAATAACCTAAGCAGTACACATTACAAACCACACTTGTGAAAAAAAAAAAAAAAAAAACATCAACCAAACTAATTCAAAGAAAAAGCTTAATTTGTTTACAAGCACACTCATCTTGAAATATTAAGCAACAACAATAAATCTTCAGAGAAATTAAACAAAAAGCAAAGCCTCAGCAGTTAATAGGAGAAAGGTTGCACATAGCAGGAAGCTGGGTGCAGCGTTGAGGGTCAACCCCTAAAGCACGTAGCAAACTCGGCTGGTTATTCTTGTAGTTACACAGACATTGAATATCATCGGCACTCAGACCCTTGACCATGTTGCAGCAAGCTGGGGATGGGCTCGTTGGGTTGCTTGTAGCCACCGCGGACTTGCAGGTCATCAGGTCCTGCACATTTAGGTTGCAGGCAGCATTGCAAGCCCCCAAAATTGCAACCATCACTGCAAGAAACACTACTGCCTTTCTCATTGCCATGATCCTCAACTATTTGGTGTGCTTGTAATGTAACTCACTCTCTCTTTGAACAAGGTTGATCTCAATAAGCTTGATTTGTTTGCGTATTTATAGGAGTATACAGTAGAAAAAAGCAGCAAAATAGTCAAAAAAAAACAAAAGAAAAATGTAAGAGGGAATATATGTTAGCCAGTAGTTGGCTCCCGTGACTGAAAATTGGCAGGATATACGTAGAATGACAATTTACACTATTGAAGACTAAACTTCTTTTGGTAAGGTGTGTATTTCAAGGAAATTGTTTGATTAAGATGTTTAGAATTTAAGGTATTGGAAGTATTGAGACATAATTTTTTATATGTGACTGGTGACACCGTATAGCCGTGTTACTTGTAGGGGGTTACTCGTTTGGGTAGGGGTTACTTGTAGGGGTTTACTTATTTAGGAATTACTCGTTTGGTTATGAGTTACTTATTCAGGGGTTATTCGTTTGGCTAGGGGTTATTTGTAGGGGTTTACTTATTTAGGAATTACTCGTTTGGTTATGAGTTACTTATTCAGGGGTCACTCGTTTGGTGTGGGGTAAATTATAGGGGTTATTTATTCAGGATTACTTATTCAAGGGTTACTCGGTCGATTAGGGGTTACTCTCACACACACTAACCAATTGAGTAAGTAACCTCTACAAGTAACTTAGTAACCCTAAATAGGTTACATATACAAGTAATTACTCCTGAATAAGTAACTCATATAAGTAACCTTTACAAGTAGCCTTTACATATACAAGTAACTCCTGAATAAGTAATCTTTACAAGTAACCCCTGCCACACGATGTGGTGGTCAGTCACACAAAAAAGTTACTATTGAGATTGAGGTATAGCTTATATATTCCTTACAATTTTATATTATTTTTGAATAGTATTTTCCCTACATATTAATTGAACTATGAAAGTGTTATTATTCAAATTTATTCGTTTATCTATTAAACAAATTTATTTGAAAATTCATGAAAACTAACTAGGACTACACAAACTTGTTCAATCTCTATATATAATCTCACCAATACACGACTTATCCTTAGTTTATATTTTTAGTTTTCATATGTTTAATGAATTTGCTTTCTTGTAATTTGCTACCTTAATTAGTTAGGATTATTGTGTAATTGTTATGACAAATGCCTGACCATATAAAGTAATGTATCACCAATTAAAAGTGCATTTTCTAAATAAAATTTCATTATTTCATTAGCACCTACTCCATATAAAATTAAATACAAGTACTTTAGAAGTGGATAAATATATGGTCGGATATAGAATGGATAATAGGAAACTCATTCAAATAATTTTATATAATTGTACGGAATACATTTTTTAAAAAAAATCAACTAACATTAAAAAAAATAGTAAAAATCAATGTTTATACTTGTAGCACATAGTTAAAAAGTGTAAATTTCACGGGGGTTTGGCTTATAGCGGATAGTGGATGTGGTTGCCCCATCGGGTATAGTTAAAAATAGATGTGGCACATGATCATTGTTTGGGATTAAAGGACTGTCTCTAAGTTTAAAGTCTATTGATTAGTGAAACCAGGGTGTCTTCACCTTTTTAAGCTTTGGCTCGTGAATTCATTTTGGACTCTTCATAGTTGGAACTTGGAAGTTTCCTCTTATTCCAAAGGACACATTTAGATGGTTACTCTTATTACAATTAAGGAGATATGGATCTATGATGATGATGCGAGAAATTAAACTATATTACTTTGATCATTTAGATATCCAATTTTGTTAATTAATTACATAAAATGACCCCTTAGCTTTTAATTAATCCTAATTGGAAAAGAAGGAACGGTGTTGTTTCTATGTGCTTTCGTGTATAGAGGGCGGAAAATTCAATAGTATTTACGTATAAGACTAGTTGATTAAAATATATACCGACAATCAATTATAGGGACAAGGAAGAAATTGATTAGTCTATTGGACGTATGAGAAGCCTTTAGTTATAAGAAAATTGAATGGTCAAGTCAATGTTGTCTTCACCTCCAAGCAGCAGCCAGCCTCTAACTAGGTTTACTTGAGTCAAGGTCTTTGTCTTTACTTTGCCATGGAAAAATTATGAGGTTTACAATGAGTGCTTTCATTCAAACTATTTTACTCGCAACAATACTTCCAATTTTAAGGTCATTATATTGTCTCCATCCTCCCCATATAAGTATACGTGTTGGATTAATTGTGTGAAAATTTACGTTACGGAATTTCAAATCACTCAATTCATCTATTCCATATACCCATGAATATAAGTAGGAAAATTATCTGGAAGGGACTTATATGTTCATTATTTTGTCTGGAAGGACCTTATATGCTGAAAGTTGTCTAAAAGGACCTTATGAGTATGTTTTGTTGTTTGGAAGGACCTTGATATCGGAATTTGGCATTTGACTTTGATTCTCCGGCATTGACCCCGCACGTGCATGTCACATGGCATTAAAAAAAAATATCCTCTCCCTTATTTTCCCCTTAACATTGGAATCCGACGTTTGACTTTGCTAGTTGTTTCGGGGTTTTCTGATGTCCTGCGGGAGAGTTACAATTCCGAGACTGGAACCGGACGCCTGTACCTGCAAAACAAACGGATGCTCCGGATGATTGGAGATCCGCCTCCGACGGTCAAGTTAGTACTTGATTAAGGAGTAATTAATGCGGAAATTAAAGTGATTGGGTCTCTCTAGGTGAGAGAGTTTAATGTGTGTAATCTGCGTAATCTCCCTTAATGAGGATTAAGGGAGGTATTTATAACCTCGGGAAACGTGTCAATCTAGGTTTAGGTTAACCTTGGGCTGATTGGGCTTCCCACGGAAGTTGGGCCTAGGTGACCGGTTATCCCAGGTGTCATGGGAAGGACACGTGTCGTGTCGTAATTGGTCCATAGTGGATGGATCATTGCTTGACACGTGGCAGGCTCCTATTGGCCCATGTGACGGACACATGGCGGAACCTGATTGGTCCACTTGTCAGATGGTGATTGGTGGGGAAAAATCCCCTAATCACTAGTGTTTTGAAAGCAGGATTGGAGGAAAAGGGGAAAAAAAAAGGGAGAAGGTAATTTTTTTTAATGTCACGTTACATGCACGTGGGGGGTCAACGCCGGAGAATCTAAGTTAAACGTCGGACTCCGATGTCAAGGTCCTTATAAACAACAAAACAAACTTATAAGATCCTTTAGACAACTTTCAACATATATAAAAGGTCATTCCACACAAAATAGTGAATATATTAGTCTCTTTCAAACAAATTTTCCATATATGTACAATGTAAAATTCACCCCCGCCCCATCACCCATGGCGGGTATGATTTTTATCCCCATCCCCGCCCCACCACCCACCAAACCAAGACTCATCCCCGCCCCACCTGGGGCGGGTCTCCTACTTGACCCGCCCCACTGATATCCCTAGTTGTTGCCCTAGGAAAACAAGGCTCTCGATGTAAAACCCTACATAATAAAGCATCGCGAACTCTTTTCATAAGGACGGACTGCTTTGTTGTAGGGTGTGGTCCAAATATATTTAATTAACCCAAATTATGCTTGATCTTGATCAAGATTAATCATAATCATTCTAGATTTCTAGAATAGATTAATGCTAAGTATGTCAATGCACTAAATGATTTCTCTAGTAAATCCACTTAGAGTAATCTAGAGGTTTCTTATAGTGTAAAGACTAGAATAGACCCGGTCTACAATAACTTATTGTAGACCTAACCTTCTAGTGTACCATACGAATGTGATTATATCATAAGAAATGTGATTATATTATTACAAAAGTGATTATGTCATCTTGAAACTATTATGTAAATGTATCACTCAAAAAGTGAATTTATCATTATAAAAAGTATCAAATAGTAAATTACATCATTCAAAAGATGATTTTTAAATTTTATCATCCTAAAGATAATTATATAATTTCATTAAATGATTTAATATGAGATCAAAATATGACTCACAAAAAGATAATTATATCATCTAAAAAAGTAATTATATCATCCAGAATGTGATTATATTATTTGAAAGTGTCAAATTTTGGGTCTACAATAATTTATTGTAGACCGGGTCCATACAAGACCAATTGTTCTTATAGTCAATCTACATTGTTCTTAGTCCACCGCCATATACAACTATATATATGTGGAGTTTAGGCACTTCATTGGAAGAGACACAAGAGAAGCCACTTACTACGTACTTTCTTACTATCTACCTTCACTTCTACATATAGACCTAATCCTTCTTTAATACTTGTCTTGCTTTTATTTTCTCTTAATCAAGCAAAATGTATGTGCAATGCTTTTACTTAACATATACTAACCTTTTGATTTTTGGGCCCAACTTAGTTGGGCTATGGGCGGTCCCCCGGCCCTCAAAACAACCCTCAAAGCCGCCCTCTACTTCCATCGTTCTTGATACCACAATATTGTCGTTACCCATATAAAATTTTCTTCCAAGCTAAGAATCACTCATGTCGTACGCTTTTGTCAGCCACAATTACAAATGCAATCATTATGATTAGGGGTGGGACTTTTCAAACCGAACCGTGAAACCGCCCGTTACCGAACCGAACCATC